TTCGTCTTGTGATGCGCGTGTGCAACAGGTCTTCCTCGCGTTTCCGACGGTTTGACGCATGTCGTTATTCGCCCGTCCTTCTCCGACACTATTGAAGTGCGGACGCCAAGCTACGGCGCAGCTGCCGGTCTCGGGCACTCCGCATCTTACGTCGCCACTGTAGGTCACACCTACACATCAACACACACACGCACGCACACACACACACACACACACACGCACGCACACACACACACACGCAAGTGCACGTGTATACACACACACACACACATTCACACGCAAGTGCACGTGTATACACTCACAAACATACATTCACCCACCCGCCCTCATGTGGACTTTAATACGAATTCCTCTCTGCTCACATTTCAGGGCAATCGGGTGTACGTGATGGCATCGGCGCACACGACAACGGAGACGTCGTGGCTGCTGGTGGACGTGGACGAGCCTGTCGCCATCACACACACGCACAACCAGCAGCGCTTCAAGGTGCGGTGGCGTGACTACACGTCAGCCCCGTGTGTGTATGTATGTGTGTGTGCGTGCGCGCGCGTGTGATGTGCCTACTTGGGGTTGATGGATGCTCACGGATCAAGGTATTTAATTGCCTGGCATGTTTTGACTGCCAACAGCGTATGGCCTCGGGCGCGGTCGAGGCTGATGCCGCCACCGAGCCCTCCTTTGCTTACAACGCAGCGGCTCGCACGCTCGTTGTTCACCCGAAGAACATCGACGCAGGCCACCACGTCGCCATCCAGTTCTGAGCTCCAGGCTGCATACTTGTGTGTGTGTGTGTGTGTGTGTGTGTGTGTGTGTGTGTGTGTGTGTGTGTGTGTGTGTGTGTGTGTGTGTGTACCGCCCACACTCCTTCCATGTTTAGCCTTTTTCGTTCTGGTTTCCACTGGCGCCTTTTTTGCTGTGGCCGATCATCCACAACAACACAATCACAATCACACAATACCACAATAACACAATACCACAATTACACAATACCAGAAACACACAATGGGGGGGGGGGGTTGCGCGTGGCAGGTGAGGACTACTCGTGGCAACACGCGGCGGGCTAGATCTGCACGTGTTCGATGGCATTTCGCGTGCGTGACATCCACGCGCGGATGATTATGGAAGAATAGCAGAGAGCAATGAACAATTTGGCGCGAGAATGCTGCGGGCTGTTGCGCGCCGGGTTGTGCTCTGCCTCACATTCTTCTGCACCTTCCTCGCACTGCCCGCAGGCTCTCCTCCCTTCATGGCATTTTCCAGCACGCACAAGAAGACAGCAGAGCTCAGAAGAACCACAAGGAACCCAAACATGGAGCCAGGCATGAGCAGCTACCTCTTCGAGCCTTACACCCCACCTCCCTTCGATCCCGCGCTGAGACAGCACGCCTACTTTACCGCCAAGGACAGCCTGCTCATGGATAAAATCTTCAAGGTGACAAAGTTCGCGCACCTCCGCGCCGCCCCCACCCTCAGCAGCTTGATCCCTGCAGGTACGTGGGGCAACTGGGGCGGCATCCCAGACACCACATCCCCAGCCATGGTGGGCTGGGACTTTGACTGGAAGAGTCAGCTTGAGGAGGATATGCGCATGACAGCAGCTGTCGAGCGAAGGGTGGAGAAGCAGATGAACGCTGTCGATCGCTATATCCTGTGCCAAGACCGCAAAAAAGACCATCTGGAAGAGGAAAGCTCCCTCGAGTCAGGCCCTCCAAGGAAGCGTGCCAAGCTCGGTCCAGACGCGCGCCGCGCAGCGAGTGTGAGCGCTCCGTCCTCCTCCACAGCCGCGTCCTCCTCCACAGCCGCGTACCCGTAGGACCTTATCCAAGTTGCTTCAAGCCTCCGCCCACCCCCCTCAAGTCCCCCCTCAAGTCCCCGAGCCAAGCCCTGTCGCTTATCTCCACCGCCGTGAGGGCCCATGTCCTCCAACGTGTCAGTGTGTGCAGTGCTGCAGTGCAGTGTCCCATTGCCTTCTTGCGCCTGCCACTGGTTGCTTTACTTATTTGCTTTCTTTATCTTCCCAGCTCCAGTTCCTTTGGTCTTGCTTGCTGAAGCTCCTTTAGTTCTGTACACTCTTTGTTGTTGTGTGTGTTCTGTGCCTGTCTGCCTTGTTCGTCCTTGAGTAGCTGCATGCATATCCATGCGGTCGTGTCACGGCCTTCTCTGCACGTGTTGGCGCGTGTGTTCAGCCAAACAATACAAACAATACACGAAGAAAGCGTCGCGCAATTATTCAAATCTCCCGGCACAAAACACTGCACAACAACACAGCAAGCACCATGTCGTTTCGGCTGCCAAATGGGTGCTTCCCCACCATGATCACCCCCATGACCAGTGAGGGCGAGATCGACTTCCAGCGACTGAACGGTGTGTGTGCGTGTGCGTGCGTGTGCGTGTGTGTGCGTGTGTGTGCGTGTGTGTGCGTGTGCGTGCGTGTGCGTGCGTGTGCGTGCGTGTGTGTGTGTGTGTGTGTGTGTGTGTGTGTGTGTGTGTGTGTGTGTGT